TTTTCCGGGCCGGCCCGGTGGCACAAGCCGTTAAGTGCGCGTGCTCCGCTGAGGTGGCTCGGGGTTTGCCGGTTCAGAACCCCGGGCACGCACCAACTCACCACTTGGCAAGCCATGCTGTGGTGGCGTCCCATGTAAAGTGGAGGAAGATGGGCACAGATGTTAGCCCAGGGCCAGTCTTCCTCAGCAAAAAAAGAGGAGGATTGGCAGATGTTAGCGCAGGGCTGATCTTCCTCACAAAAAATAAAAATAAAAATAAAAATCCTCCCTAAGTGAATAAGCCTGGAAAGAGGAAAGTTAATACCCATAATGCTGCAAAGGCCAAAGAAACACACATTTTTTTTTCCTCAAATGACAGACATCCATTTTTGAACATTTTCATTGGGCCTTGGTTCTGTATATCTTTTCTTATTTATCATACCCATTTTGCAGGCAGAGAAATTGAGGGTCAGAGTTTTAGGAATTTGTCATGGTCACATGACTAGAAGGGGGCCCTGCTCACTCTGGACCAGTTAGGGTCTGGCCCCACGCACAGCCCGTGCTCTCAATCGCCACTTCAGTAGTCCCTCCTGCTTTCTCCCCCTACCCTGGTCTCCTTCTGCCTCGGACCCAGGGGGCACTAGGGACTGCCCTTTGCTCGGTCCACAGTTTCTGGGCTTTCATGACCGGGAGCCTGGGTGCATAGCTGGGCTGGAGAGGACTGGGGGGGATCCCAAGATCACACAGCTGCTAACTTCCCTTTCCAAGCCCTCACTCACCCATGCTGAGTGCAGATCATAATCAGGACAATGGCACGCGGTGTGACATAAACCCTTCTTGTTTCAGCGCTTTATGGTGGTCAAACCAACATTTGTCAATAGCTAACAGGTGCAGGCGCTGTGCCTGGCACTGGGGTTACAGGTCACACAAGCTGGGCCCTCACGAGGCTCGCCTTCTGGTAGGAGAGATGTGATTGACAGTGCGAAACTGTAATTCAAGGTGGTGGGTGGCAAATACCAGGACAGAACTGGTGCAGGGGAGTCAGGAGAGGAGAGGAGGAAGCACGGGGCTGAAGTGGGGCCCTCGGCGGTGGTCCGGTGGGGGAGCTGTGGCTCCGGGACACAGGGCTGGGGTCATGCAGTTCTGGTGTGGACACTCACAGTCCCAGACTGTGGGAGGAGAGGGCAAAGGGCCCTCACCTGCTCTTGGTTTCTCCCTGCAGGAGCCTGGGTCCAGGTATCACCATCATCTGAGCTCCGGGAGGGCCAGGCTGTGGTCCTGAGCTGCCAGGTACCCACGGGGGTCCTGGAGGGGACCTCATACAGATGGTATCGGGATGGCCAGCCCCTCGAGGAGTCGACCTCGGCCACACTCCGCTTTGCAGCCATAACATTGAGCCAAGCTGGGGCCTACCATTGCCAAGCCCAAGCCCCAGGCTCAGCCACCACAAGCCTGGCCGCCCCCATCAGCCTCCACGTGTCCTGTAAGCACTTTCATCCAGGTTTCCTAGGGGGTGAGGGAGCCGAGGGCACAGTGGGGAAGGGGATGCCGAGCCCCTGGTCCTGGTGCTCTCTCTCTGAGAGACAGCCCCAGATGAGGAACCACCTGGCCAGGCCCTGACCACTCCCTGCCTTCTGTAGACGCCCCTCGCCAGCCCACGCTCACCACCCTGATGGACACAGGCCCCGGGCGACAGGGCCTCCTCCTGTGCCGTGTGAACAGCGATCCTCCAGCCCAGTTACGACTGCTTCATGGGGACCGCCTCGTGGCCTCCACCCTTCGAGGTGTGGGGGAACTTGCAGGCAGCTCTCCCCGGCTACGGGTGGCTGTGGCCCCCAACACACTGCGCCTGGAGATCCACAACGCGGTGCTGGAGGATGAGGGTGTCTACACCTGTGAGGCCGCCAATGCCCTGGGCCGGGTCTCGGCCTCGGCCAACTTCGATGCCCAGGGTCAGTGTGAGGGTGTGAGTGTATGCGTGGGTGGCTCCTTTGAGAGGAGAGGAGGTTGCAGAGGGAGCTGGAAGGCTGGGGCACAGGCAGGACAGAAGGACAGTTTCCATTCCCACCCTTCTGAAGGGCAGCAGTCTCCAGACTTGGGTTTCACTGAAGAGACTTTTTTAAAAAAAGAACTTCACATGGATGCTCAGTGGATAAAACTAATCAGAAAGGAGGCACTCAAGGAGAAGCCACAGCAGCGCAGGGGAGGCCTATACTGTCCTATGTGCCCTTTGCTGGGGTCAGGGAGGGCTCGGGGCACTCCAGGGCTCTGCAGAACTCTGCTAGGGACCGCCCAAGAGATGAGCCATTTCCCAAGCTCCACCTCTGAGCCACCTGTGCCTCCCAGAGGCCGAGGGGCTTCCCACCCTCATGGAGACAGGAGGCTTGCTGTACACAGCCTCACGACTTTCACTGCTGTCCCGGTGTCCTTCTTCTCTCCCCAGCTGTGAGTGTACAGGTGTGGCCGGAGGCCACCGTGTGGGAGGGGCAGCTGGTGAACCTGACCTGCCTTGTATGGACTACCCACCTGGCCCAGCTCACCTACACGTGGTATCAGGACGGGCAGCAGCGCCCAGGTGCCCACTCCATCCTCCTGCCCAACGTCACAGTCACGGATGCCGCCACCTACCGCTGTGGCCTGTTGACCCCTGGGCAGGCACCCCGGCTCTCCAGACCCGTCACCCTGGACGTCCTCTGTGAGTGTGGTGGGATGCAGGGTGGAGCTGGAAGAAATGACAGCAGCCCACAGGGATCAGGGCGTGGCCAGAGCCCCACAGGTGTCCAACCCAGGAGCTTAGTACCCAGCCGACCAATGGAGCACTGGACAAGGAGCATTGGAGTCGGGGGGCAATGAGGATAGGTCCTGTCTGAGCAGAGGAGCAGTGACCCAGATTGGGCAATGGAGGCCCTCCGGGTGGGGAGCCAGGGCCCTCCTGGTTTGAATGCCACCTGCAAACTGCCTTCTCAAGGCAGTGGTCTCTGAACTCCTTCTATACCCCATAGACGCACCCCGCAGCCTGCACCTGACCTACCTCCTGGAGACCCGGAGCGGGCAGCTGGCCCTGGTACTGTGCACTGTGGACAGCCGCCCACCCGCCCAGCTGGCCCTCAGCCGTGCTGGCCGCCTCCTGGCCTCCTCGACTGCAGCCTCTGTCCCCAACACCCTGCGCCTGGAGCTGTGGGAGCCCGGGCCCAGTGATGAGGGTCTCTACAGCTGCTCGGCCCACAGTCCTTTAGGCCAGGCCAACACGTCCCTGGAGCTGCGGCTGGAGGGTAAGACAGGGCCCAGGCCAAGCCCAGCAGGGGTGGGATCAGCTGTGGTGTCTGGCTGCGCCCAGCTGACCCTGGTCTTCTTGAGACAGGTGTGCAGGTGACCCTGGCTCCGTCGGCCACTGTGCCAGAGGGGACCCCTGTCACAGTGACCTGCGAAGACCCTGCTGCCCGCCCACCCACCCTCTACACCTGGTACCACAACAGCCGTTGGCTGCAAGAGGGGCCAGCTGCCTCCCTCTCATTGCTGGTGGTTATGCGGGCTCACGCAGGCGCCTACTCCTGCCAGGTCCAGGATGCCCAGGGCACACGCAGCTCCCGACCAGCCGCCCTGAAAGTCCTCTGTGAGCAAGGGTTCTTGGCTGAGAGTGCTCGAGAGGGTGGGTGGAGGGCGCTTCCGGGCCCCAGTGGGGGTAGTTACAGGCCTGCAGAGAACTCGAGAATGGACGCCTGGGGAGAGAAGGACATAGGTGATGAGGAAAGAGACCCTAGGGTCCTGCGAGCCCTGCCTGGAGGGGTCTGCCCACAGGAATCCTGAAGGCGTCACTTCCAGGAGGTGACCACTTGTCCAGAGACTTCAGTCTTGCCAAAGCCAGACAAAAGGGCAATGGGCAGTACATGGTTTCCAAGAAAGGCCCCCATCTGTGCCCTGCTCTGTCCCCAGACGCCCCTCGGGATGCTGTCCTGTCCTCCTTCCGGGACTCGAGGGCCAGCCCCATGGCTGTGGTACAGTGCACTGTGGATAGCGAGCCTCCCGCAGAGCTGGCCCTGTCTCGCAATGGCACAGTGCTGGCCACCAGCCATGGGGTCCACGGCTTGGCATCGGAGGCAGGCCATGTCCAGGTGGCCCGCAATGTCCTGCGGCTGCAGGTGCAAGATGTGCCCTCAGGTGACGAGGACACCTACGTCTGCACAGCCCACAACTCGCTGGGCTCAGTCAGCACCACAGCGCAGCTGCAGGGGGAAGGTGAGTGGGTGAGGGGGGAGGAGAAGGTGCTCAGGTGTCGTGGGGTCAGTCCATACGAGGAGTGGACTCCCACGAGAGGGTTTTGGCTGGCCTGACGGAGTAGATACAAGCCCTGCCTAATCCGGTGGAAGAGGAACAACTCCCACTGGAGGAGGTTGCTCAGCTCAATGGGGAGAAACAGCTTTGCCCTTGGAGGGCTCCCAAGGACAGAGGTGTAGTGATGCCCAAGGGGAGCTTGGGCGGAGGGGAGACATAACCCCGCCCTCACAGAGCGCAGTCTGGGGCTGGGGCCACAGACCTGCTCCAGGGAATCCTGGGGTGGGAAGAGAGACACAGCCCTATCCTCAGGGAGCCCAGTTTGAGGGCAGAGGTGCAGCCCCACCCCTGGGGAGTCCAATCTGAGGGCAAGACACAGCCTCAGCCATCAGAAAGCCTGGTTTGATGAGAGGGAGGCACAGCCCTGCCCTGGAGGTCCCCAGTGCAAGGATGAGAGATAGCCCTGTTCTCAAAGATCAAAGTCTGATGAGGGAGGGACAGTCCCACCTTCCAGGGGCCCTGATCCTAAGTCAGATCAGATCTTCCCATAATGCTCAGGGGCCTCTCAGCTGCCCAGATCCTGTCCAGAGGCTCTGGCTCCCACAGGACTACAGATCCCTGACCACCTCCCGGTCCTCGGCCTGCAGGTGCGCGTGTGGTGGCCGAGCCAGGGCTGAACGTGCCTGAGGGTGCAGCACTGAACCTGAGTTGTCGCCTCCCTGGTGGCCCTGGGCCCACGGGCAACTCTACCTTCACTTGGTTCTGGAATGGCCGGCGACTACACATGGAGACTGTGCCCACCCTCACCTTCACCCACGTGGCCCGTGCCCAAGCTGGGATGTACCACTGCCGGGCTGAGCTCCCTACTGGGGCCACCACCTCTACTCCAGTCATGCTGCATGTGCTCTGTGAGTGTGACACCCCCTACCCTGCCTCAGTCTCCCCACATCTCACAGCCCACCTCAGGTCTTCCTCTTCTTCTGTCTTCAAAGAGCAAGGACTTCACAGGTATGGAGTCCCAGGTTGGAGGACTCCCACTGACTGGCTGTGTGATACTGTGCACCCATGCCGTGGTTCTCTCTTCTGTAAAACCTCGGTCCCCTCACCTTGTGAGGAGTATAGGAGATGAAACAAGCAGTGTGCCTGGTGCACAATAGGCCCTTGTCAGCCTTGATCCCCTACTCCATTCTTCCCCCCCAGGCCCATGCCATATCAGTCAGCTACTGCTGTGTAACAAGCCATCCCAAAACTTAGTGCTTAAAATAACAGCCATTTTATTAGCTCACAATTCTGTGGGCCAGCTATCTGGGCTGGGCTCAGCTGGGTAGTTCTTCTGCTGGTCTGACCTCATGTGGCTACAGTTGTCCAGTGACTGAACTGAGGCTAGATGGTCCAGGATGGCTTCACACTCATGGCTGGTGGTTGGGGCTGGCTGTTGGCTGGGCCACATGTGTCCAGCAGGCCGACCTGGGCTTCCTACATGGTTGTGTTCCAAGGAGAGCAGAAGTGGCAAAGCCACTTGAGGTCTAGCACTGAAGTCACACAATGACACTTCTTCTGCCTTTTAGTGGTCAAAACAAGTCAAAGATTCAAGGAGTGAGGAATAGGCTCTACTCCTTAATGGGAGCAGCAGCAAAGTCATCTTGCATGGGTACAGGGAGGGGAGGAATTTGTGCAATCACCAGACTCCCTGTCTTCTCGCAGACCCTCCCAAGACGCCCACCATGACGGCCTTTGTGGAGCCTGAGGGTGGCATCCAGGGCATCCTGTACTGCCGAGTGGACAGCGAGCCCCTAGCCAGCCTGACCCTTCACCTCGGCAGTCGGCTGGTGGCCTCCAGCCAGTCCCAGGGTGCTCCTTCTGAGACACACATCCACATCTCAGCCACCCCCAATGCCTTGAGGATGGACATTGAGGAGCTGAGGCCCAGCGACCAGGGGGAATATGTGTGCTCTGCCTCCAATGCCCTGGGCTCTGCCTCTGCCTCCACCTACTTCGGAACCAGAGGTGAGTGGGGCTCCATCTCCCAGGCTACTCTACACGAAGGCCCAGCTCTCAGGTCCAAAAGCTTCCTTCTGAGGTCTTCCCTGAATCCCTTCTGCTGCAACCAGCTTGTCTGTCTAGTCTAGACTGGTTGCTTGAAGCTCCTTTGCATGAAGAAGCTTCTGAGATAAAGTGAAAGTTAGATGGCTTTCATCTTGGGGAGTCCCCTTGGGAGGGAGCATTGGAGGCCGAGCCATAGCTGTCCCTGAGCCCCACCTTGTGTTCCAGCTCTGTACCACCTGCGTCTGTTCCAGCAGCTACTCTGGGTCCTGGGCCTGCTGGTCCTCTTCCTACTGCTGGGCCTGGGGGCCTGCTACGCCTGGAGGTGGGTCCAGAGCTGGCAGGTGGATGGGGCCACCTCATCCTTCCCTCTGTTTCCCCCAACATTCTCCCATGTCCCTCCTACCAAATTCACAGGCTCTATACTTCCTAGCCTGTCCCCCTCCCTCCCTGCTACAAATTTGGGAATCCCGTCTAGAATCATCTCTAAATCCACCTTGCTGTAGTTTTCTTCTTTCCTTATCTCTGCTCTTTCTCTGCTGAACAAAGGGCTGGGGAGGAAGAAAGATAAGGTACCCCACTTTACACAAGGCTCCCCACAGCTCTGTGCAGTAAGCAGTCTGGGGCCAAGCCTGTGGGGTGGGGAAGAGAAGTGGGGAAGATAGGGGGAAGGGGGATGCTCTCTGAGCCCATTCTTGCGCTTGCAGAAGGAAGTATTTTCATAAGCTGAGCATGGGTGAGAATGCGGTGGAGATGGCTTCACAGAAGGACGCCACACAGGTACCCATTCACCAAGTGGGCACACACAGACCTAATGCCCAGCTACCCCTCAGTAGGGGGCTGGCACCGAGAGACTACTCTCATTTATAGGATGGTGTCTGGGTCTAGGGAGGGATTGGGGGGAGAATGTAGAGAACCAGGGCTCCCTGAGAAGATAGAGGGAGACATATTCTGACTGGGGTAGAGAGCAGCCACGTATTTGCTGCATGGCTGGGTGGATGACTGGAGCAGACATTCTGAACTTAGCAGCATCACCTCCACTTTCAAGACACATTTTGGAACACAGGACTCCACCTGTGTTTTGAGGTCTCTTTTCCCCACCCCTGAGTCTGCCCATCACCTGGGCAGGGATGAAAGTCTGTTTTCCCTCCCCCTGACGTGTCCCCTTCTGCAGATAATCCATTTGGTGGGCCAGGGCTCCCAGTCACATTTACAGCCATGCACACTCTCACCAATCCCCTTGGCACCCCTACCCAAGGCTGGGAGCCTGGGGGACTGCCCTCCAGAGTTAGGGGTCAGGTGATGACTGCTCCCAGAGTCCTCCTGTGGCCAGGGTTTTTTATGTGGGAAGTTTATTGATCCTGATATAGCCACATTTGAGACCTCATCCTGTGCTCCACCCCTGAGCTGACCCGTAGCCTTGCCTGCCCTCAGGAGGAGAAGATCGACGGAATCTGTGATGACTCGGGCCCTGTGAACAAGGCAGCGTTGGGGGCTGCCTGCCTCTGTGAAAACAGTGGTGTGACATCTGACTTTCTATGACCTGGCTCCAAACCTCTGACCCCCAAGAAAAATGGGTGGTGAGAGGTGGAGGTGAACCCAAGAGGTCTACCCAGGAGGGTGCTGACCCTTGGGGACTCTGAAGAGAAATGAGTTGATCATGTTGCCCACTTCTCTTTCTCTTTTCTCTGGATCTCATCTCTCCGTTTCTCTTCCAATGCATGCCCCTTCACATCTTTCTCCTCCAAGCCCACCCTGGACCTTTTGGATGGATTAGAATAAAAGAGGAGCTTTCTGTGACCTCACAGGCTGGCCAAGGCACTCTGTATTAGATAGAATATAAGTTAGGCTGCTCTAACAAAAGACCAAATACAGTTACTTCAACATGAGAGAATTTTGTTTTTCTCTCCTATACCAGTCTGGGTATGTTATGGTGGTTTAAGGTGTTAGAGCTCCGGATCCTTCTGTCTTAAAGTAGTCCTCCCTTATCCATGGGAGATACATTCCAAGACACCCAGTGGATGCCTCAAACCGCAGATAGTACCGAACCCTATATATACTATATTTTTTCCTATACATACATACCTATGATAAAGTTTCATTTATAAATTAGACACAGTAAGAGATTAACAATAACTAATAATAAAGTTGGCTTTGGGGCCATTATTAAGTGAAATAAGGGTTACTTGAACACAAGCACTGCAATACCATGACAGTTGATCTGATAACTGAGAAGGCTACTAAGTGACTGACTTAGTAAGTGGGAAGCGTACACAGCGTGGATCCGCTGGACAGAGGGATGTTTCATGTCCTGGGTGGGCGGGAGGGTGTGGGACAGCACAAGACTTCATCACACTTCTCAGAACGGCACACGATTTAAAACTTAGGAATTGTTTATTTCTGGAATTTTCCATTTAACATTTTTGGACCCAGGTTGACCGCATGTAGCTGAATCCTCTGAAGGTGAAACTGCATATAAAGGAGACTACTGTATTTTTCTCCATCCCTAAAATGTTGCCTTTGATTGTGAGGTTCACGATAACCCCACTGTGTCCATATGCCCTCCAGCAAGTAGAGAGTGGAAGTAGAAAGCACACCCATTCCCATGTGGACACAATCCAGAAGTTGCACGTCATTTTCACTCACTCCCCATTGGCTAGAGTTTAGTCACGTGGACACTCCACGCTGCAAGGGATGCTGGGAAATGTAGTTTTATTCTATTTCCAAAGGACCGCTCCTCCACCCCCAACTATGGACTCATTCCTGAGACTTTTGACATTGATGAGAATGCCGCCAGCAGGCCACATTCTGTCTCAGTGCCCATCTGCTGAAGGCTAGGGTGTGTCCCTGGCCATTTGAGTCATGGGCTTCTTGGAGGAGGTAATCCCTCTCACATACTAATGCTGAGGAAATCAAGAAGGTTTGGAGGTCCCTAGGGAGAAGGCATGCTGGGCAGTGGGGTTGCTTGAGCAAGCATCTTGTGCCAGATCTGGCCCCTAGAAGAGGTGCCCCCATTCCCACCTCCCACCCCCAGGGGACGTGGGGAGCAGACATGTTGCCATCAGCATCTTTGTTTCTGTTCCAGGTGCATCCCTCTCCATGATCAAGTGAGCTTCCATGCTTCTCCTGGATGCTTGTGCAAATGAGGGTCACTATGAAGGAATAAAGTGCTCCTGAGAAGTCAGGGCCTGAGGGGAACCAGTTCTCCGGTGGGCTAGGGACTCCCCTGGTAGCCTGGTGGCAAACGGTGGGAGGAGCAAAGAGCTGGCAGCTCTGGGATTTGGGTTGAGAAACATGGAGAATAGTGGGGAGATGCATAGGAGCTAACAAGTTGGGAAGAAATTAGAGGTCAGGTGAGCTCCGTGTAGCTGAGGCTGGACCCTCTGTGGTCCCAGGTCTCACTCCTTTTAGTGCCTGATTGCCAGACTCTTCCTAGGAGCCTGTCTGCATGTCCTCCCAAAAAATTTCCATCCTATGATGCACTGGAGTGAGTTTCTTTCTTGGAACCCAAACTGCTGGACTGGGACACAGAAGATTCAAACATGAGTGGGGTTTATTCTGGGAGACTGTCTTCAGGAGGTGGCCAGCGGCTGCAAATTACATGACATTTACCATAAACTACCTTACGCTCAAGTGATTTGTGCCCCTTCCTGCTCCTGGAGGCTCTGTGAGTTGTTCCCCTCTGCTGCCCACAATGACCAGCACAAGATAATGACCAGCACTGCCCACAATGACCAGCACTAAATAAGCACTGGTTTTTCTACGTTGCTGTTGAGTGGGAGGGTGGACAGTGTGGGCTAAATCCGGAGGTGGGTCAGGGAGAGAGCAAGCCAAATGCAGCCAGATGTTTTGAAGCTGTCTGGGGACAGGAGGGTGAGGAGAGGCCCACAGGTAGCCTCGGAAGGGGTGGCTCCTGGGGGATTTGGGAACATTTGCCTTGGGAGTCTTCATCTGCTTCTGTGCACCTCCAAGGAGTCGTAGGCCCCCCTGGGACTGGACGGTTCTCAGAGGGGTTAGTTGTGTCCACCCCCAGAGTCTGAGGCTCCTCAAAACTTTTTAAATAAACCTTTAATTCAAGTGTAACACATACGGAAAAGTGCATACATTATGAGTGTACAGCTCAGTGACTTTTCAAAAAGTCAACACACCCATGTAACCAGCACCCAGATCAAGAAACAGACCATTATCAGCACCCCGGAGTCTCCCTGGTGACCCCTTCCAGTCACAACGCCCCAAAGGTAACTCCTATCTTGACTTCTAACACCATAGATTTAATTTGCCTGTTTTTGACTTACATAAATGTAATCATACATTATGTACGATGACTTTGGAAAACTGTTTGACATTATCTATTAAAGCTAAAATACTCCTGCCCTATGACCCTGAAATTCTACCCCTGGGTATTTACTTAAAAGGATTAAGGGTTTATATCCACTGTGAGACTTGTACTAGAATGTTCAGTCACGTTATTCATAATAGCCGCAAACTGGAAACAACAAATGTACATCAACAATAGAATGGATAAATAAATCATGCTACACTCATACAATGAAATATTATACAGCAGTGAGCAGGAGGTACAACTACACACATTATGGGCAATACTCCCAAACATAATGTTGAGTGAAAGGAGTCAGACACTAAACAGAGCAGACAATTTTATTCTTGTAAGTTCAAGAGCAGGCAAAGCTAATCGATGGTGACGGAAGTCAAAACAGTGGTTACTTATGGGGGAAGGTTGTGATTGGGAGGGACCACAAAGGGGCTTTCAGGGGGCCAAGAGCGTGCTGCCTCTTGGTCTGGGGGCAGGTGTTATGGTGTGTTCACTTTGTGAAAAGTCATTGAGCTGGGCACTTAGGACACACACACTTTTTTGAAAATATATTATACTTCAGTAAGAAGGTTTTCAAAAATCTCTACCTTTATGTTGGATATCCAGGGCAGTCTACCCAAATTCCAGCTGATCATAAATTTTTTTTTTAAAGCACCCCTTTCATCTTGCCAAGGGACATCATGTTCCCCTTTAGATGCACCAGAGTCTTGACTGTGCCGTTGGGGCCCTCCATGCACAGGTGTGACTTTTTTTGATGCACCCAAGCATTGGCTTGTCATCTCCAGGTGCCACACAAGATAACTCTGTGGGCCAGAGTTGGCAGCGCTTCACTCAGATACCCTGTTTCTGGTCACTCTTCAGGATGAGTCCTGTTTTTAGATGGTGAGTGTTGCCCATTATGTGAGAACTTCAAAAGTTTAACTCTCACTGGTTCGCCTTCTTCCCAGGACACATGCCCCTCTGGAGAGTGACAACAACAAGCCATTTGATACATCATCTCTCCCACGGTGTTATCAGGCATGAACACCATGATCAGTGGCACTTCCGGGATCCAGCTTCCTCAACTTTGGGCCAACGGCCCCATCTCCTCCTCTGCAACCTCCAAATGTAAATAAACAGTTGCTCTGAGACTTTAGCAGAAAATTCCTCTGGCATGCTTGAAACATAGCTCATCTGGGTTTGAGAGGCGTCCACATTGTAGAGATGACTCCAAGCCCCACCCAGTTCTTAGGCTACATAGCCCCCCCGTTTAATTAGCTCCGGCTGTGTGCCAGGCCCTGTGCCAAGCAGTGAACAAAGGACACAGTTCCAGACCTCATGGAGCTCAGGGTCTGGGGCAGAGAGACTAGCAAATGGCAACTGAAACGCCATGTGAAATGTGGTGCAGCGAGAGGTACAGTGCAGGGGACGGGAACCGGGCTTTGAGTCAGGGAGGATCCCTGACAAGGAGACACCAGAGCTTTGGTCTGCAGTGTGAGCAGGAGTTCACCAGTTGGCTGTATTCCTACCAGAGGAGAGAGGGCCCTGCCTTCTCTCCCTGATGTTCGCGCTGATGCTACCCCTTCCATGTTCAGAGCCTGGCCACTGTGGGGGTCTGCTCGGCTTTCCTGGTGCCCAGCTCCTCTGGGGCTCGAGCCACCTCCAAGCCCTCGCCAGGCCCTGCCAGGCATATTTGGTGTTGTTCTGTCACTGTGATCTCCAGGACTTTCTTAGCTGCCTCTCTCTTCCTCTTCAGTACTGTTTCCTTTACCACGGTTAGGACCTGTATCTTCATAGTTTCCTCTTTCTCAGGATCCACATTCTCTTTTGGAATCTCCAGTTGTGCTCCTGGTTCAAGAAGGAGCCTGTGTCACTCTGTCCACTCCTATTTTTCCCCAAATCGTCCCTGAACATGAGAAGAGATAGTAAAAGGGACCCTGGGAGTGACAGGATTCCTTGCTCTTTGCCCCCTGGCTCATCTAGCAGGAGAATCAGGGAATTCTGTCCTGGAGGGGTGGCCTCTGCTACTGTCAGCACCCATGATGACCCCCTTTAGTCATCCACAGAGGAAGGGGTTGATGCCTCTCCAGCTTGTCCACACTGGAGCCCCCAGCATGACCAAAGCCATCTATGTCTGTATTAGGTCTGGTTCCCCAAGACGGGGTTTCACATGCAAGTAACTTATTCAGGATGTGCTCCCAGGGGAGACCAGTAAAGGGATGGAGGAAACAGAACAGGCGAAGGGAGGAAGCTAAGGACACATGCGCACAGATGTTCATAGCAGCATTTTTTATAACATCTCAAAACTAGGAACCACCCAAATGTCCAGCAACAGTAGAATCAATGAAAAAAAAAAAG